TGTTTCTCACCCCATGCAAAAGAGAACATGAAAAGGCAAGAAGAGAGAACTGGCACAGGTCCATCACTACTAGATAAAGGCTTCTGTAACATCATCTGTGTAGATGCAAGGGATGGTACGCTACTTTATTATTCCTTCAGCAGGAAAAGAACACAAGAAGAAGGGAAAAAAGAAACTTGCCAAAATACAATTCTAAAAACAATGCCTAATAGACTTGCCAGGAGTGGGCTAACCATTATACATGGTATCCCAGGGTATCATTATTTTTTTTCAGGGAAATAAAATAAGGCAATAGACCAAAGGGATTGTACACTAAAGAAGATAGACTACCCCCTAACTACTCCCGCCCTCCACTCCTGCCCTCCTAAAACTCAGAATGAATTTAAATTTGGGCTGTAAATTACCAGTTTGCTAAAATTCAAAAAACTTTTTTTCCATCTGTTCTGTAATAACTCATATGTTGTTGCTACAAGAAATTTGGGTTTTGGAGAAGTGTGGAATAAATGCTGGCTATAGAGTCAGAACGCCAGGACTCACATTCTGCTTCTGACTCACCTGTGTGACTTTGGGCAAATCACTGAACCTCTCAGGGCTACATTTTTCCTCATTTAAAAAGTGCTGGGGTTGGACTAAATGGTCTCTTTCAGATCTAAATCTATCTATGATCTCGGGATGAGGAGACTTGGGGTCAACTCCTAGGTCCTATGTAGTGATATGTTTAACAATCAGCTCTCTGAAAAAATGTGTGTAGGAGCACACTTATAATTTTAGTAGACATTATTAACATTTTCTCCATCACTTTCTTAAGTCTAGGTATTCATCAAAACAGTAAATCATGACTGATTCAAAGCATTTGCTTATTTCTGGGGTTATAAATGCTCAAATTGAAATTTTAACAATCAACTCATAGGAGATGGTACAAACTGTACAAAAGACAACAGAAATGTCAAGGAGAATGAATTGGAAAAATTGAAGCAAGAAATGTCAATGTTTGGACAAGGCAGTATTATTTTCAGTCTTCAGGCACCGAGACCCTAGATACACATGCTCACAGCTTCTCACTGTGTTCAAGAACCTCATTTCTTTCAAGGCTGAAATTGAGAGAAAAAAAGAAATTGAGATGATTTTCACCTGTCTTGAAAAATCCACCTTCTCCTACCCTATGCCCCATGCTCACTGTATCAAGATAGGACAGCGGACAGGACCGGACTGCGGTTCCAATAGCAGAGGGAATTCCCAGGTGAGGAAACTCCTTTTACCAATAAAAGTCAGAACCTTCTCTGACATTTCACAGGATCATAGTTTGAGAATGGGGATAAATCTCAATGGTTCACTCCATGGATAAAAAGAATACCTAATATAACATTCACTAAATAGTCATCTAGCCTCTGCTTAAAGACCTCTTGTTTTGGTCCTTAGCTTCTCTTGCCAGACTCAGGTCAATTTGAGCATTATCATTCCTGACTGGTAATCCTACAGACTTGTCTAAAACACGGAAAGCATGTCACAAAGACAGCATGTGTCAGTGGAAAAGCTTGAACCCACGTCTGCATCTATGCTGCAACTTCCCAAGATACCAAAATAAGTGCTTGTAAATAATAATTGATCTACGATGTATCATTCTTTAAAACAGCCCAAGAGCTGGGGCAACCAGAAACAAGGGTTACAGTTTTCTTGACTGGAATAAGAAATTATTGTTGAAGTTCCATTGAAAGCCCTACAAATTAATTCAAAAGATAGCAATTTCATTAACCAGAACATTCCTGCACTTTTGCCTTCGGGAAAAGAAGCAATTGAAAAGAAGATAAGCTTTTTTTAAAAATCCATATCCTAGTCCAAACACCACGTCCCACACTACATTTTGGGGTCAGTGCATGTATAATACAGCCCAGTCTTCTGTAACTTCCTCATTTACAGCACTGAACATTTAAAATCGTTATGGAAAATGAAGGGACTCAATTCTCCTAAGCTTGATGCTAACACATTACAAAATCCAGAAGTGACAAAGAAGCAGTGAATTGTGCTTGATGTCTTATAATTACTAAATAATAAATCAATATCAGCGCATTATAGAAAGATTTTTAAACAGATGTTGAAAAAAAAAAAGGTCCAGACCATGAACTCAACAAGTGAAATAATTGGGACGGGGGTGGGAGGAGTAGACAATATGCCTTCAATACACCAAAACTCTCAGAAACCACCAATGTAAATGTATACAGATCAGTACAATGAATGATGTTTATAAGGATGACCCTAGGTCAATAAGAAAAGGTTTAATTATGCTATGAATGCTCTATTTAAGGTGGCAGGGAGAGGTATAATTCAGTTTAGACAGATTCCCACCCAAAATAGTTAATGGGGGGGGAGGGGAATTTGTTCACATCTGGATTCTGGGCAATGTTCCAGAAAGCTGAGGTTGCCCAATAGGTGACATCTGGGAAAGTGAGGTGTTACTATATAATTGTCTTGCCAGGGGTCTTAAGCTTTTCAATTGCACAGAATTCTTCTCCCCAGTTCCAAAGAATAAAATGATCCTTTCATTTGAAACAAAACCCTAGAACACTAGCCCCACCACCAGTTATTATGAGTGATCTACCTCTTGGTGTATGAGGCTGACCTGGACTTCCATAGGAGGACCCAGAGAGAGTAGTAGGGCTTGCTGCCCACCAAATATCATCATCATTATTATTAACATTATTGTTGTCGCTGTTGTTAAAAATAATAACAATAGTTGGCATTTATATAGCATTTTAAAGTTTGTGAAGCACTTTATATGTTACCTCATTTGATCCCAAAGCCTAACTGAATGGGAGTGACTAGCCTTCTTTGTAAAGACAAGTACCCTGAACCACCTCGGTCTCAGAAGCTCCCTCCCAAAATGTCCCCAACCATGAAGACTGATACTACTGCCTCCCAAGTGGAACTAAAATGTAAAACAATGAAAAAGGCCAGCTGGCTATGTGGCCCTAAGGACAGAATGACTGAAAATGGTGGGTTTTAAAAGGAAGGAAAATCATGAAGTCAGGCTCAAGCTATGGAACACATTCCCATCTTTCTGGCTGCAGTAAAAAGTATCTTTGCTGGCATTTTTTATTTATGGGCCACAGCTCCCAAGGGTGTAGGAGGGAACTGAAGTTTCACAGCTTTTCTTCCAGTCCCTGGATTTGTTCCCTGGATCAGCAAATGGTCTGTTCTGCTCCAAGCATGCAGGTGGAATAGTCAGACCTCGGTGCCATTAAGATAGGGAGCTGGGAGGAATGATATCAGTTTGATACCAGTTCTGAAAGAGTACCTTCTAAATCAAGACTTAGCCAATGAGAAAGAAGTTATCCAGTCCAAGAAAAATCATCTGGAGACTAGAGGCATATTTACCTCATCAGATGACTGAATCCAAAAAATGAATAACCCTTAAATAACTTTAAGTAGCCTCTTTTTACATATGTATATGAATGTTTTGTGTGCATGTGTATTTCTGTGTTGTTTTTTTCTTTTTCCTAGCATTTGGTTCCTTCAGAACCAAAGGGGACAGGGCTGAATTCATTACAGACTTTCCAGAGGCTTTGTCTTTCTGCAGATCTGAAATAATTTCCATACATTTTCCTAAATCTATGGGAGTTAATTGGAAATTTGCATTTTGAACAGAGTATTCCAAACTCAAGATGGATGCCTAAGCCTTTCCTTCTCTCCAAACAAGAGAAAGCTTCTGAATCGAATTTACTGAAGTCGAAAATGCTCAGAAATGGCCAGCATGATGGTCTTTCTTCTCTGGGAGACTCTTCAGAAATACTTGGCTCCCAACTCAGAAGGGAAGAAGACTGTCCCTGGTTTGGAGTTTGTTTATATGACTGGGATTACATCAGAGAACTTGGTTCTTTCCCCACTTCCAAATCACTGGGAATCCATCAAAGAGGAGCCAAGCCTGACATCATGTTTCCTTTATGCAAGCAGGAAGTTGTGAATTAATGAGCTGTGTTTTCCTCATGGGGTCTCCGGGTGAGCTGGCTTTGGGAAAACTCTTCTATGATTCCTTGACATAGCCTTGATAGTATTATTTATTTAACTGTCTGAAAGACATCATCTGCTTCCACTCAAATGACAAATGCTTTTTGGATGGTGGCTTTGAAAACAGCTCCAGTAAGAAGTCAGGTAATGGTCTGTTGCTTGAAAGGCTAACTTAGGTGATGGCTTTAGAGACCTGGGTTTAGCTGTGTGCTGCCAAATTTTCTCTATCTCTATCTTACCTTGTCTCTTATTAATTCAGTTTCCCTAACCCCAAAAATGATATGATTATATTGATGCTACAGGAGATAAAGTGCTAACCATAGAATCAGAAGCCTTGCGTTTGCATCTCACCTTACCCACTTAGGAGCTGTTGTCACCCTGGGCTAGTCACTCCCTGAGGCTCAGTTTCCTAATATGTAAATGAGAATAATAATAATAATAATAATAGTACCTTAAAACAAGGCTGTTGTGAGGATCAAATAAGATAATGTATGTAAACTGCATTATTATTCTCAAAGTGTTATATAGATGGGTTGTTGTTGAGTTGTTTCAGTTGTATCCAACTCTTTGTGACCCCATTTGGGGTTTTCTTGGCAAAGATACTGCAATGGTTTGCCATTTCCTTCTCCAGCTCATTTCATAGATGAGAAACTGAGGCAAACAGGGCTTGCTCTGGGTCACACAGCTAATAAGTGTCTGAGGCCAGATGTGGACTTATGAAGATGAGTCTTCTTGATTCCAAGCCCAGTAATCTATCTACTACACCACTTAGCTGCCTTATATAGATAGGAGCTGCTTTTATTATTACATGTTAAGTAGGCATGCTGTAACAATGAGATGTGGTGATACATGGCATTGACAAAAACTTCTCATTCTGTCCTTAGCAGACTCTACAATGCCTGTTCCACCTTTTGCTATGTTTCATATTTTAATTCCACTCTGATGCTAGTGGTGTCAGTCTAAGACAACCTTAGAGGAAAGATGCATTGGAAACATACCTTGTGCCCCGGTTTCCGGCCTCTCTTCTTTGGGATCTTCACAACTGGTAACGAACAGGCAGAAGAAGAGTAAAGGTTGGGGACCGCCATTTTCATTGGTGCCGAGTGAAGTGGAGGTCTGCCTCGTTTTCTCCCTACTATCCTTGGAGACTGCATTTCAGCCATTACCAGTCTTGTAAGCAGTGATGACAGGTTATTAAATGCAGAGTTGTTGCTAAGAATCAGTCCAGACACAAAACAAAAACAAAAACATAATTTGATTGGAGAAAAAAGGAATAAAAATTATGAGAAAATTGCCTTAGCTTCTTTTAGCCTTTCTGAGATGCTAGCCACTTAATGGAAGGGGAAATAAAGTCAGGGTGAGCCAGGTGCCATTATTCGCTTTTTAAATGCTTATTGATAAAGGGAGGTTATTGACCCCACTGGGCAGCCCATGAGGTTTAATGATCCCACTAGACTTCTCAGGGAGTTACTGATCCCAAGGTAGGATTTTAAGAGAAGCAAAGCCTAGTGGTCTTGGGCTACATTAAGACCTAGTAGGCCAAGCATTGAACAAGACTGAGAGATCACTATTGGTTCCCACTTCCAGCTATAACTGTCCTTGGGAGGGGAAGGAAGAGTAATTATTGCCAAGAAAGCTCTGAATAACCAATAGACTTAAGGTTACTATATACTTCCCATTAGCTGAAGCTTTCCTTGGGAAGTATTAAATGTCTGATCACCTACTTCGAGAGTAGGAAGGATATGCCCTGATCCCAAGACCCAATATACCACATGGAGTGGACAGTGAATGTAGCACCTAGATTGTGAGTCCTTTCTAGAGATGAGAGATTAGAGCAGAGACCATCTCAGAGTCCTGCAGTTGATGACATGCTTAAATGTGGATGTTGAAGACTGTATTTTTGGAAGGCTTCTGGAAGAAACAATCCAGAAGCTGGAAGGAGTAGCCATTCTTCCTATTAGTGACAATGGGGAAGGGAGAGAAGGGGAAGGAAGTTTGCAAAGAGCTTTGTATTCATTATCTCATCTGGAGGCTCACAATAATTCCATGAGTTAGGTGTTTTAAATACTTTGATCCTGTCTTTATAGAGAAAGTTCAGAGTGGCTCAGTAACTTTCACATAGCCACATAGCTGATAGGTCTCAGAGGCAGGATTTTAAACCAAATGTTCCTAACTCCAAGTCTGATGTTCTTTCCACTATGCTATGGTGCCTCAAGTGCTATAGGTGATGCATTTCTCATATGGTTCTTTTGTCAGGATTCATTCCAGTCAGGGTTCAAGATTTTGAGAACTGGTTGCTCAAGGAGATACTTAGCCTGGTAGAAATTAAGAACTCAAGAACTTTGCCATATGAACTTCGCCATATGAACTTCCAAGTGACCTATATCAATCACACTCTATTGATATCAATAACATACACACACACACACACACACACACACACACACACCCCAATATCCATCACACTCTATTTAACATGCCAGAGTCACTGAAGTCTCAGCAGAAGACTCCTTGGAGTCAACATGTGACCTTTTAAATGTTCCCAGTAATGACACCACTAATTTCACTTAGTGTACCCTGATACTTCGGTGAAAGCTGTAGCGTCCTAGAGACCTGTACTTTGAGTACTTCAAGAATGAGGAAGCCATGTTGTTGCCCACAGCACAGCTAATAGGACTTCCTGTCTGGAAGACAAAAATTCAGGAGAGTTGATGAACTGTGGCCAGCAATGAAACTAGATAATAACTACCAGGTTATGACTCATACATGGAGGATTCCAATGCCAAATGATCTGGTTTTGGGTATATTAAGAGGAAAAAATGGAAGGCTTCCAGCAAACCACAGTCTGAGGGAAATCTCTGCCTGAATGATGCAGAATGGGGTTACCAAATGAGGGGGAATCAATGAACGAATGAATAAAAAAGGCATTTATTAAGTGACTATGATGTGCCAGACATTGCAGGAAGTGCTATAGATACAAATAAAAAAATCAGACAGCCCCTGTCCTCAAGAAGATTACCTACATGGCCTCCAACATTAGCTACTATTTTGGAAACTGATAATACAAGACTGTGAGTCTCATTGTTGGAATGCTAAAACAAAAAGCAGGAGGATTCCCTCATTCCTTTACATAGACTCCTTACCTAGGACCACTTATGTATGTCAATCAATCACAAGCATTCTTTTAGCAACTAACTATTATATGCTAGGCTTTGTGCTATGCTCTGGAGATACAAAGATTAAACAGTCCCAACCCTCAAGAAGCTTCCTTTTTATGGCGGAGATAAGATGTACATATATAAGTATAGTAGGCAGAGTTTGTCAGGAGACCTCTGGTTGAATTGACTCTCCCCCATAAATTAGCTGAAAACAGAACATAAGGAGACAGATAAACAAAAAAGTAGGTAAAGGTGTAAAGTCTTCAGTCAAGTATGATGGGTGGCACAGTGGATAGAGCACTGGGCTTAGAATCAGAAAGACTCATCTTCTTGAATTTAAATTTGGCCTCAGACACTTACTAGCTGTGTGACCCTGGGCAAGTCACGTATCCATTTGCCTCAGTTTCCTCATCTGTAAAATGAGCTGGAGAAGGAAATGGCAAACTACTCCAATGTCTTTGCCAAGAAAACCCCAAATGGGATCACAAAGAGTTGGACATGACTGAACAACAACTAGATGTTGGCTTGCTAAGGCTTGGTCACCTTCCCACCCATGACTGCAATGGGACTTCAAAAAGTAAGACGAGATCATTAGATAGTCAGTGGAAATAGGAGATAGCCCTGAGGAGTGTGGCTCCTTGCATCAGAGAAAAGAAACACCTAGAGATGAAGAACCCAGCTCTTTGCCTTTCCTCTTTCACCTCTACCAGAGGATGGTCAAGGAATTTCTTCTCTTTTTTGCACCCCCCCCCCCAGCAATGGCATTTTGCAGGAGGAGCTAGCTACTTGCCCAGGAGGAGAAACAGCAGGGAACGGACCCAAAAAGAGCCAATTCAAAAGACTGCTGTGATGGGTGTGGCCCTTGGAAGCAGAGAAGAGAGCTAGATATGTATTTAAGAATCAGGAATCTAGTGTGTGTGGGAGGGGGGGGAGTAGCCCCAGAAAGTCCAGCTGAACAACAATGAGAAGAGAAAGTACATAGAAACTCTATGGTGCTGGAGGCAGAAATTATCTTGGCCACGTGTGTTCCCAGCATGTGTGTCTCTATCAGTATTCTCTGTGTATGCACCCATTTTTCCCACTGATGTTATTTGAAACTTCAGCCCAAGTTTATGGTGGGGGCGTGGGTTGGGTAGGGCAGAATGTTTTGTAGTTACTGTTCTTACTCTTCCAACCCAGTAAATGCTTTTCCTTTTAGTTAATAGTGCCTACTGGCCAATCATTAAAGGTAAACACATTGGTAAGGGCTTTGATCTATGGCTTTAACTGGGGTCAGAGTTGCCTCCTTGAGACTAAACCTGAAAAAAAATAAAATTAGTTAAAAATAAAAATAAAATTGGCAGCTAGGTGGTGCAGTAGATAGGCCTTGGAGTCAGGAGGACCTGAGTTAAAATGCGGCTTCATACACTTTACACCCTGGACAAGTCACTTAACCTCGATCTCCTCCAAAAATAAATAAATAAAAATAAAAAATAGAAGAGACCAAACCTGAAACTTTCAAGAGCTAAGTTGAGGAGGTAGCCCAAAGGGGTTGCTACATAGACATATACAAAATTTGTGCAAAATAAAGACAAGGGACTATTAAGGATTGAGGCACAAGCAGCTTCAAGGGTTGGAGGTGGATCAGAAGAGGCTTTTATAAAGAAGCTAGTGTGTGAGCTGAATATTAAAGAAAACGAGGCAGTGTAAGACACAGAGGTAAGAAGGGAGTTCATTTTGGGCATGAGGGACAAAAAAGCACAGAGATGAAAATGGCAGGTATGAGGAAAAGCAAGAAGACAAGGTTGACTGGACTATTGACCACCTGAGGGAAAATAACATGTAATAAATCTGGAGAGGTAGTCTGGAATCAGACTGGGAAGGACTTTAAATGCCAACCAGAGGAGTTTGTACTAGCACCTAGAAACCATAGAGTCTGATGCCTAGATACATATAGGTGTAACTCTCTATACAATAAGTTTGCTTATACTATGTGAAAGGCTTTAAATGTGAAACAGAGGAATCTGAACTTGATCCTGGAGGCAGGAGAATCTGATACCTACATCCATATGTGTAAATCATAATTATGTCTACATGTTGTGTGTATATACATATGGATGTGTGCATCAGACACACAATGTTGGTATACATATAGATATTTACACACAAATAAAGTTGATTTCTGCCAATACAGAGAAAAAAACAAAATCTACATGTATGCATCCATACCTTTAGAGAAGCAATCTGGTATAAGGAATAGAGCACTGCTGGCCTTGGTGTCAATAAGACTTGGGCTCGAATCCTGCCTTCTACCCTTTCTAGTTGTGTGACCCTGGGCAAATCATTTCAATTTCATAATCTGTAGGAGGAGAGTAATAGTAGCTACATCACAGAGTTGTTGTGAGAATAAAATATTATAATGAATGTAAAGGACTTTGCAAACATTAAATCATTATATAAATATGAACTGATACTACATATAATATTATTATATAATATAATTATATTTATATCTTATGTAATTATATTTACATCAGGTCTGACAAACGGCCTGGGCTGCTTCCTTGTTGGTTGTCGTGGGTCTTGTGACAATCACCCGAAATCCTTTGGCAGGCCACAAGCAGCCCGGACCATATGTTGTGCAAGCCTTATTTATATATTATATAATATGTATTTATATTCGGCATATATAATACTGTATTATATAATTATATATTATATAAATAATACATATATTCATATACTATGTTATATAGTATGTATTTTTATACAATATGTGAGGGGAGGGGAGGAGAGGGGAAAGGAGAGGAGCAGAGAGAAGAGGAGGAAAGGGGAGGGGAGAAGAGAAGAGGGAAAGGGAAGGGAGGAGTGGGGAGGAGGAGCTGATTTGCCCAAATGAAACTGGCCATTGGGTCCCTAGTGGTGCAGCTTGGACTACTCATAGGTTATTGTTTGTCCTCATTCTCAAAGAGCACCATGATATTAGGGAGGTGATGCCATGACATGCAAGTGAATTGGATCTAAGTGAGGGAGGGCGGTGCAAAGTCACCAGCCTCACTTTCTTCTACAGAGCCATCTGGGTCCGGTGGCTGGATATAGATCAGGACGACTGGAGATGGCCCAGTAACGGTGAAGAAAGAGTTGGTTTTGGAGGCAGGAAGACCTAGGCTTGAGTCCTGCCTCTGTCGTGTTCATGTGTGTATGTGTATGTATATGTGTTTACATGTATGTGAGTGTGTGTGTGTGTGTAAGCAATTCACTTAACTTCTCAGTGCCTCATGCAACTCCCTTGAACTATAAACTGCAAAGAAAGTAACAAATTACTTAGGTATACATTACTTACTGAGAGTTCCTTACAGCATAAAAATCACAGGCCTACTTACTATCCCAGTTCTCCCCATCATATAGACATTATGTACCTATACACGTATGCACATATACACATACATACATATTTCAATACTTCTAAATACCCGTGAGTTTATGAGTGGGCTCTCCCATCATCAGAGAGAGGGTTTTCCTTCCACCGAGGCATATTGCAAGCCCTCCCAATCCTCTCATCACTTACTAGACAGTCATCATGAGTCGCTATAGCCAAAAAGAAAACCATCACCCCTCGGCCAACTTCAGGTGCTGAGCTATACACGTATGAACAAAATCCTTTTGCTCAGAGAACAAAAGTCAACACTTATTTTGGTGAGTCAATATGACCATACAAGAATGGGTTCTAGATGTGCCCTTACAGCAGAATGTTATGTACATTCTACACAGACACCTTTTCTGAGGTTTCTTGGCTCAGGATTGTTTTTTTTGTTATCATACTGTTGGGGCAGCTAGCGGCTTGGTGTATAGAGCGGTGGGACTGCAGTTAGGAAGATTCATCTTCCTGAGTTCAAATCTGGCTTCAGATACTTACTAGCTGTGTGACCCTGGGCAAGTCACTTAACCCTGTTTGCCTCAGTTTCCTCAACTGGAAAATGAAATGGAGAAGGAAATGGCAAACCATTCCAGTGTCTCTGCCTAGAAAACCCCAAATTGGTTCACAGAGAGTCGAATATGACTGAAAACAGCTGAACAATAACAACAAATATCCCATTTCTCTCTCTGTCCATGAAATACGTTCCTCTCACCAGTGATATATATATATATGTGTGTGTGTGTATATATCTATATCTATATCTATAGGTAGATATATACACACATATATATATATTTAAGCAATTGGGGTTAAGTGACTTGCCCAGGGTCACACAGCTAGTAAGTGTCAAGTGTTTGGTCTAAGGCCAGATTTGAACTCAGGTCCTCCTGACTTCAGGGCCGATGCTCCATCCACTGTGCCACCTAGCTGCCCCCACCAGTGATAATTAAAGGTCATAAACTCAACCACAATGCCTCATTCATCCAAACTGCCTACCTCCTGCTCCCCATCCTCACTTATGTTTCTATCCTGAGCCTTCATGGACATTCTGCTGAAGGGGTGAATAGATCATAGCAGTGTTCCTCCTTGGGGCCAGCAAAGGACAGGAGAGATTTGCCATGTTATAAACATGTCTCTCTTGATAATCGGCACCCATAGATCCACTACCATGTCCTCTTACCCATGCACACAAAGGAATAGATCAGCGTGGTCTGAACTTCAGTTAACTATGCATCTCAGGCACCATTTAAACAGGTTCCTTCCTAGGGGATAACTCACTTTTTAATGTGCTTTATGATATGCTGTCCTTCTTTGTGAGCATGTTCAAGTCTGGGATCTGAGTTTGGGTCAGGAAAGATGTCATCAAGAAAACAGAGGGTACCTTGGGCTAAGAGGCTGGGTTTATGCTTTTGTTTTTTGGTTTCTAAAATTGAATTGATTTTCAATTAACATAAGCTGATTTTCTTGCCCTTCCAATCCCACTGAAAAAAAATCACAAAACTTGTGTAACAAATATGCATAGTCAAAGGAAACAAATTCCTGCATTGTCCATGCTCAAAAGGTACGTGCTTCATTCCACATCCTGAATCCATCACCTTTCTGCCAGGAGGTGGTTAACATACTTTATAATTGGTCCTCTGGAATCATGGTTGGTCATTGCATTCTCAAGTCTTTCAAAGTTGTTTCTCTTTACAATGTTGTTATGAAATAAATTGTTCTCCTGGTTCTGCTCACTTCACCCTGCATTAGTTTCCAGGTTGCTCTGATACCATTGCCTTCTTCATTTCTTATGGCACAATAATATCCCATTACATTCATATGCCACAATCTGCTTAGCCATTCCCAAAAAGGAGGACACCTCCTTAGTACCCAGTTCTTTGCTTCTTGTTCGTGCTTCATTCTCAAAGACCAATGACATCAGCGGGGTGATGCCTTGTCTTGCAAGTGAATTGGATTGAAGTGAGGCAGAGCTGTGCAAAGTCATCAGCCCCACTATCTTCTCCAGAGTCATCTGAGTCCTGTGGCAAGACACAGGTCAGGATGACTGGGCATGGGCCCAGATGCAGTAGGAGAGCCTGGCCTTTTTAAGCTAAGGTCTTTCCCAGTCTCAGTTTGTCTAGGGCAACATCCACTCAGTAATTAAAGGCCAGGTAGGAATTGAGGCAAAAGATGGCCTACACAAAAGAATCAATCTGGAAGTGGAAGACTCAGAGTTGCTGGCCAGAACAGAAACAACTGCTATTTACTCTCACTCTAAGCCATTAAAACCTAAACAATGAGTAAGTGAGGCTTGGGCTGGGACTTGGACAAAGTTCTTCCACAACAAAAAGAGCTTCTGTGAATATTTTCATTCACATGGATTGGCTTTATATTTTGTAACAATGGTCATTCCCTTGGAGCGTGCATGAGGGTTGAATTGGACCCTGGTCACTTCTTGTGACGTGTTCTGTGGCCAATTAGGCTTGGAGAAGTAATCCTGGAGGCAGCTGAGTGGTGCAGTGGTTTAAGCAATGGACTTAGAATTATGAAGACCTGAATTCAAATCCAGCCTCAGCTATTTAACCCTGGACAAGTCACTTAACCTCTCTTTGCCTCAGTTTCCTCATCTGTAAGATGGGGATGATAATGGATGATAGCACCTACCTCCTGGGGTGTTGTGATGATAGAATTAAGTAATATTGGTAAAGTGCTTTACAAATTTTAAAGCACTATGTAAATACTAGCTATTACTGTTATTATTTCTTAAGTACACAGCACATAGTATCAGAGACAGAAGCAGCAAGAGACTCTTGGCAAACGTACATCAGCACGCTAACCAAGTCTTTCTATTGGGCGAAGAATGGCAAGTTAATTACAAACAGACCCTAGATGAGGTCTGGCATCATGGTAAGGAAAACAAAACAAGTAGTCCAAGAAGCACTAACCCCATTCTGGCTTTGAAAGCATGTATGGGTCAAAGGAGAAGGAAAACGAAGTGGTTTTCTGTTACTCCCATAAACGCTGAGGACACTCAGCTCAGCACAGAGAATTCCAAGGAGCATCTCTTCAGTCTAGAGAAGCAATGGGAATTTGGAAGACTCAGATTTGACTTTTACCTCAGGCATTTACTTTTGTGACCCTAGAAAAGTCATTTAACAAATTTGAGCTTCCATATTCTTATCTTCAACTGGGTATAATAATGGCACCCACTGCAAAAGGTGGTTATAATGATCAAATGGGGTAATGTGTGTAAAGCACTCTCCAAACCTTAATTAAAGTGCTAAATCCCATCATCATCATTAAAATCATTGTTAGTGCCTCTTAAAATCATTTCCCTCCTACAGCTACCTTGAATTGATTCTAATTCGCTGGTTACCCTTGCATTCCAAAAACATGACCTTTGATCAGATTGTATCTTACGCAACATGGAAACATGGTGGTATCGTGTCATATGTTTGTAACATAAGTTAATGGTCCTGCAGACAACACTCTTCCCTGAGCTGAGACTAAATGCTGCAGGTGGGGATCTTTGCCCAGATGAAGATGCAGGTGTCCCCTCATTGAAATCCCACATCAATACCTTGAGGTCCAGCCCAAGTCTCACTTCCTCTATGAAGTCTTAGTCAAATACTCCAACCCATATGGATATTTCACTTCTCTCAATTTCTGTGGCATTGATTACCTGAATTACCACCTGAGACACTGGATTATATAAGAGGTGTATTCTCTCCAGTAGTGTATTCATTCAACAAGCATTCATTAAATACCTGACATGTGCCAGAAGATGGGTTAGACAATGGGGACTCAGGAAAAAAAAACAAACAGTTTTAGCTTATATTTTATTAGGCAGGCAACAACATATACACAATAATAGCTTATTCTTTAAGGTTACAAATAATTGTGCTGCAAAGTAGGTAGTTCCAAGAGTACTACTTGCATTTTATAGCTGAGGAAGCTTAGGC